GGGCAAGTGAAATATTCTGTGTTGGACCTCCTCTACCTACATTTATTGATATAAAACTTAGAGTAGGGGGGAGGCGGAAAGGGGCCCGTGGGGCGCCCTTTATGAGTGATTTTTCGGGACGACCGCCTCTGTGATCTCAGTCACGTTTGGCGTCTCATCCGTCATTAGAGCCTCGTAGCTGTTATGGGAGCTGTAGTTCGGCGTAGCTGTTTTGGCCATCTTAGTGGCGGCTTTGATATCGGCCTCTGCTCGTCGAACGGCGGTTTTCGCCCGGATCACCGCGGCATATTCGCATTGGCTAGCGTTCCTGATTTTTTCGAGGGTTTCCCTAGAAGCCATTCCGGACTTATTAGGGCGGGCCAGACAGTTTCGGCCGTCTGATCTGTGAGGGCCACCGCAATTGCGGCACTTGGTATGTGTTTGGCTTTCCGACGTGGAATGCATTGTTGAGGTGCAGTTCCAGCAAACTGGGGCGCGCGAGCAACTCTGGGTCCCCCGGTATAAGAGACATCGCTTGCATTGGCTCACAGTTTGGCGTGGCTGATGGCGAACAGCGATTCCAGAGTCGTCGAACAGTCGAAAGTCTTGTTTAGGGACAGACTCTCTTTCGAAATGAGCAACCCATGTCTGGTATGGGGATCTGACTCTCCCTTTTCCATGAGGGCGGACCCTTACCGGAACCTTTGAAGTGACCCTGGCGATTTCGTCGGCCACCATCTCGTCGGTGACAACTACTTTGTCCAGGAGTGTGTGAATTGCGACGGGAATCGTCGCAATTCGAAGGGCCACCAAATCTGAGGCCTTTTCCAGGATTGCATCTACCTGGACGAAAGACTCAGCAGAGTTCAGAAGGAGCTGTCGTACCTCCAGGTTTTTGGCTCGGAGTGCAAAGCCTGTCGGAACACGGTATACATGATCAATATTCTGCGGGGGTATCTCGAGCAATTTTGCTGTCGCATCTCGGACACCGGCCGGCGAGAGTGCGCGCCAAGCATGTTCTTTTCCGAGTCGAAGAAACAAACGATCATCTCTGGGGCCAGTTTTCTTAACTTTTGCCGGAGGTCTCGTTGGTGTCGGGGGTTTTTTATGGACCCGCACATCTTTCACAGGTGCTGCTGGCGTGTGGAGGCCAGTTCGGGTAACTGTTGCCCAGGTAGGTTTGACCTGGGTCACCTTGACCTGGGTCGCTTTTTGTAGCAGCTCTGGCTGCTTTTCAATCGTTTGTTCAATGATCTTTCCGCCATGATTCTGGCAGTTTGGTCGTGGGGGGAGGTTGGGAAGGACTGTTCCTGGTCCCGACAACATGAATTGAGCTATTGCAGCTCGGAGGTAGACTTTCATGGAGTCTATAATTTGAACACTCGACCCTTTGGATAGAGATGCGAGTGCATTCTCCACACCGTTGATGGCAGCGGTGCATATTGTAAGGTTAAATGCAGTCTAGGCCACCCGCTGTTCTACGGCTTCAAGTATGGCTCGAAGCTCGGGAGGACAAGTCGCAGTCTTCTTGGAGCTAATATCGCTACAAGGAGATTGATTGTTTCCACATGTCCTCGGAATGGGGTTCTGAGGGGCTGTGGTTGACGTGGCTTCGTCGGCCTTTTTTAAGTTAACATTAGCTGTCCGCTTCATGGCTGTTACGGTTTGACCGTTGTTTGAGCTTAGGTGGATACCTAAGCCTGATACTAAGAATCCTTACAATGAGGCTGTATGGGGGTGGAGATGAAGCTGAACAAAACGGCACTACTACTCAGGAGGCTGAAGCGTCATTACAACTTAGTGACACCTGGAAATACGTGGCTGGGTAGAAGTATTGAGCCTGAGGACAAGTCACTAGTCTGTAGATTCACGAGGAGGATTAACTCCTATAAATACCTGTTAGTAGTAGCTAGAGTTAGCTTTTCTCCTCATATAGTTTATTAAATCGATTTATTCATCACCAACTTGGTTTCCGTCACAATGGCCGGCACAGCAATCTTCCTCGTGTCTGTAATAACGGGGGTCTCTGAGACCTGACCGTCTTCGGGTTCACTGAAATTTCACCGTGAGCTCTCAAGCCCCTCCATGATATATCGGTCGATAACCGCATCACCCATTTCAACATCTGGGTTTGTGGAGTTAGAATCTTCTTCAAAGGCTCTTATCCTTTCGGTCATGTCCAGCTCCATTTTTCGCCCGTCTATCTAGCTCAATGGTATGTTCTTTTTTACCAAGCGCTTTTCCAGCCTGGTTTTCGCTCTATCAATTGTTCTTTGAAGGCGAATAGGTCGCGATGATTTGGCAGGCCCCGGAGACATGTTGGAGATCCGGGGTCTTGCTACTGTGAGAATTCGAATTTGTGTAATTGTATGCGAGTCGGAGGGGGACGTTAACGGTAATGGAGTACCTTATTGATTCTCTCATGAATATTCAGGAATTCTAGCTTTGATATTGTGTCATAGCAAGATAGCTGCATACGGAATCAAAATTTGATAGAAAAATTATCTTTGTGTCATCTTGACTCTCGCAAGCGAAGTCTTGGCGCACCCAAAACTTAATTCGTAAAACTCTTTGCCAAAATATCGGATTCCACGCCCTTCAAACTTATATCCATCCTTTGCATCATCTTGCTAACTTATCTTGACCCCCTTCACGACCATCCCAAAGAACTGTCTTCCAGGTTGCCGCGCCACACTTTGCTTCCTCCGTCGGGTGTAAATATCGGCGTGGGTGTGTATTTGGCGACTGGCCGAGGCCAGATAATAGTCGACGAATGGTGTGGTCACTGGAATGATGATGTACTTGGTCGTACTTGCAGACTTGACGAGACTTAGGTAGGATTCGATCTCGCTGGGTGTGAAAAATTGACGTGGTGGAGTAATTTGAATCGCTGTCTCGTGGGCCGACTTCTTGACTATTGCGAAATTTGACTAAACTTGGCTCTGGGAAAATATTTCACTCCCAGGTTCGTATAGGACACTGCACGGTAGAGTCTGGAGAGCCTATATTGAGTAACAAAGTCCCCACTTCGACGGGGATTTCCCATTGCTTCCGCGCTCTGTGTCGATTTCGTCCCTAGGCACATCCCCCTCTCACGACCATCATGAAGCTAATCACGATCAGATTAGATGTTAGGGTCGAAGCTCTTTTTACAACAACTCTTGAACACGGAGGAGAAGCTATCCGATTAGTTTCCGAAGCGTACTCAGCACTAGATGTGGAGATTGCGGATTGGATCAAGTCGGCCTCGAATGTTACAAAGAAGAGAGATATAGATTAATATGCGCACATCATGTTGTTCCGGTGTCTAGGCCTCGCCTGGCTGTGGCTGCAGGTTTTTTGAGACTTTTCTCGTGCACGCAGTTTCCATTGCTACCTTTGTTTTGGGGGCAGAAGGTTCTATGGAAAAGGTGGCCGAATTCCTCGGGTAAAAACTAAGCTGGATAGCTATTCATCAACGGCAACATATCAACGTTCCTTCAAGAACCATGGGAGGTAAGGAGCACTCTACAAGGTCTGGCACGGGTCATAGAGGAACTCAATGTGCTAGATAGTCTATGACCCAAGTAGTACAATAAATAAACACAAACTTGAGAGAACGGCCCGATTAGTGAACCTCTTCACCATCCAAACCATTAAGTGATCCAAGTAATATAATATGTTTGTTCGTTGTACCACGTGATCACGTTCTCCACTAAAACGTTATAACGATTTCACGTTGCAACGATACAAAATAGCACCTTGGAATCACATCATTATAACGAGTCCGCATTGTTTTACATTGAATCATCTGTTCTATACTTTTCTTTGATATTGTGTCATAGCTAGATAGCTGCATACGCAATTAAAATCTGATGCAAAAAAAAAGAGTTCACATTGTAGCCCATGGGAACCTCCTTTTCTCCTAGGCCATAACTAATAACATCCGTGAGACGGCACTAGTTCCCATTAGCACTGAAATTCACTACTGAGATCTACCTAGTAGAGCAGTTTGAGGTGTCGGGATCATTTTTGTTCTAATGAAATGACCAGTCAATTAGAATTCAGATAAATCTACCTTGAAATTACTCTATTCCGTATGAGCTGGTGAATTAAGCACTTTTATGTTTAAAGCGGCGAATCTTTCCTTCGATTGCTTCATGCCTGGACTGTTGTGCTACTAAGTATCTGAGAGTTCGTCGTCGTAGATGGGCGATTTACATAGTAATGATGGTGTTAGGGCCGTTAGCTAGCTCTCTACACCTAGACGATGACTTTTCTTTCCTGTAGGTTGCAAAGAAAGATTTACATTAAAGTATAATTCATTGGTTATCATGTTAGTGAAAACTGCCAAGAAAATTGCCGTAGCCGTGCAGGTGAATTTGGTGAATGCATTAGATACTTCATTACCTAGACTTTCTACCCAGCCTCAACACCGGCATACGGCCATCTTTTAAAAAATCATATTTCGGCCACGCAGTATTATTTCAAAGCTCACAGCGAATTTACGAAAAAGAAAGGTTTCCGGGGTGCTAAATACTGTTGGTGTATCTGAAAGCATATTGGATATAGCTTCCTGGCTCTAGAAACGAACTGTAGCGATGGAGCTATAATACGTCTATGGGCTTCAAAAAGTAGCATCTATAACTTCTGTGCCCGCATCAATCGTAGTTTCTCGGAATTTTATTGACTTTCCAGGCAGGAAACGGCAATGGTAGTTGATGTGTGTTGACTAGCTCATTTTTTGTAGGACTGTCTATAAAGATGTATATACCTCAAATGATTAGAAGCATTACACTGTTTGACGGCGTTTTGTCCTGCCTCCATCTCACTTCCCATTGCTGATCAGCTTTGCCTGGTGAACAAGAGACGATAGTGGAAGAGTTGGGTAGTAGAAGAGCTCAAGTGAAACTTTTGTACGCACCCAACGTCAATGAGTGAGGATTGTATGTGTGAAGTGATTGCTTAAGACTGTTTTTGTCGATAATGGTCACGAGGCGTTCATATTCACCTTGAAAAACTGCTAGCGGTATCGATTATTTTTACAGGCCTCCACCGTCAGGTAGACCCCAGAGTTTCACGGTTCTATCGTATCCACCACTCACAATCCATCTAGAATCTCTACTTACATCGACGCTGTGCACGTTCCCTGTATGGCCTTTTAAACTCTGAATTAGTGACCAATCATCAGCAGAAAATACATTAATACTCTTGTCAAATCCAGAAGATACAAAGAAAGTTCCTGACTTCTTCGGTCTAAGAGCTCCCTGCTCGTCAACTTCAGGCGCGAAACCGAGGGTAGGGTCGTCAGCGCCTTTGAACCATCGTAAATCTGATACCACACTCTTATGAGCACCAATACCTCCAGATGGCTGAACCTTTCGTACATCCCAACACTTTATCCATCCATCACCGGATCCAGAGAGAATCCGATGGCCGTCTACACCCCAGTCTAGAGCATAAATTGGTCGAATATGTCCTTCCAGAATCATGACGGTGCGTCCTGTACGGAGGTCCCATATCCGGCCTATACTGTCCATTCCAGCACTGGCTAATAGAGATCCATCAGAATTAAAAGAAAGTGCAAAGACACCTCTTGAATGTCCTTCTTGTAGGAGTAGCTCTGTTGTGGTGTCTACATCCCATAAGCGCCAAGTCGTATCTTCAGACGCAGATGCTAGATATCGACCGGATGGGTGAAACTCTACCCTGCATACTCGTTGATTATGACCCATTAAAGTTGAAATGGGTGTATCGCTCTCAAGTGACCAAAGATGAACATTTCCTTCCGCACCTCCAGAGGCGATGTTAACGGTGCTAGGAGTGACGCCTTTATCAGGCAATGTAGCGTCAGGAAACCAGCTGATACCCCCAATACGATCCGTATGTCCACGCAAGGTCCTTATTTCCGACATTGAAGGGATATTCAGAAGCTTTATCCCACCTCCCCAGTTTCCAGCAGCAATAATCTCTCCATTTGGCGCTATCCTAGTTATACTGATCGGTCTTTCACCTGCCATTTGACTTCCGTAGAGTTCCATACCATGGAGGCGCTCTTTGACCCCTTTCCGAAATTTGACGTGCGTCCTCAATGGTATTCCAGACTCAAGCTTTTGGGTTAACAGCCTAGATTTGGCTTTAGGGAGTGAATACTTGGCAATGTATTTTCTAGCCTCTAAAAGCTCTGGTATACCTTTGGTGTAGAATTCTTCCTGTTCATTCTCATTCTGATGATTTGAATCCTCCATCCTTACGTCCCCGTCGTCATTCTCTGCAGCACTTATTTCGGCTTCAATAGCAAGAAGCTGCCTGAGTCTATCTCTTCGATCGCCTGGTCCTTCACCAAAAAGCGTGACGGGCTCACCCATCTCTTGAAGTCGCGCGCGTACCCGTCCATCGTCAGTCGGCACAGATATTTGTGCAGCTCGCCTTTTCCGGTCAAATTGAGATAGAATAGCAGATGCACGCTCTGGAGCGATACCTGTGCTATTAACGGATGAAGCGTGATTAAGAGCTGTGAAAGCGATCAGATGGTATCAGATGGTAATGATGGGGTTACTTGCGTACTTTTGATTGGTTAAATCCATTAGATTCAACCTTGACTTCTTCCACGTATGCAGCTCTAGATGGATGCATATCGTAGTGCTGTTACGTTCGGGATAATAAAAAGGCAAACAATTTTGTTACATACTTGCGCGTCTAGTCAGTTAGCCAATATTGGCAGTGAAGCTTTGCTTATGTAACATTTTTCGTGACTTATCTAGTGAAATTCCAACGGCCTGAGAACTGTAAGGAGTTATGATGTGAAGACAGGCTAAAACCTAAAACCTAACTACGGTATCTCCTACGAACCTCTAGGACACTGGATTTAACTCTACTTTGGAAAGAGAAGCTTGAGATTCTTTGTCGCGTGGAAACAAGTCAATGGATAAAGGACTCATGCTTGGATGACTAAAGATTTCTGAGAATTTTCCATGACTCAGCATTCATGAATGACGGTTGACTTGGGGTGAAGAAAAAGCAGACATAACTTTGCAGCAGCATTTGCAAATGAAGTTCAAATTATGATTGTCTCTAACTTCAAAAAAGTCATCGCAACCTTATACATAACATAGATCATGCGTCTTAGCTAGGTAGATGAACACACTTAATGATTTAAAAAAAACTGATCTTAGTCCTTTCTGTATTTTCTAATTACACGCCTTCCATAGGCTACTCAGCAGGATGTTAAAGACTACGTAACTATTCTTTGTTTTTGCATCAGATTTTAATTGCGTATGCAGCTATCTAGCCATGACACAATATCAAAGAAAAGTACAGAACAGATGATTCAACGTAAGGGAAGAGCACTCATGCCTCGGATTTCATTTGCAAGTACCGCTGCGAAGTTATAGTGGCTTTTTCTTCACCCCAAGTCAACCCTCATCCGTGAATACCCCCACCCAAGGGAACGTCCCAAAAACCCTGAGTTATCCAGACATGCCTCCATCGTCCATCAACTTTTCTCCGCGCGAAATGTAATCTGAGATGTCTCCTTCTTAAGTGGAGTAGGTGCCCAGGCTACTCAAACCATACCAGAGAACACCACCAGGAGGCGGACCACAACACCTTCCATCGTTGGCTTGTTTTCATAGTGTCAGCTGCACTCTCACAAGCGAAGTCTTGGCGCGCACAAAGCTCAATTCGTAAAAATGCTTGCCAAAATTCGGAATTTCACTCCCTTCAAGGTTAAATCCTTCCTTTCCATCATCTTGTAAACTTGCCCTGATCCCTCTCACGTCCATCCCGAAGAACTATCTCCCAGATTTGTGCACGACGCTTTGCTTCCTCCGTCGGGTATAAATATCGGCGTGGGCGTGTATTTGGTGGTCAACTGAGACCAGAGAAGGTCGAAGAGAGGTGTGGTCACTGGAATGATGATGTACTTGGTCGTACTTGCAGACTTGACGAGACTTGGGTAGGCGTCAAACTCGCTGGGAGCGGAAAAACGACGTGGTGGAGTAATTTTAAATTTTGCCTCGTGCGCCAACTTCTTTGATATTGCGAAATTTGACTGATCTTAGCTCTGGGAGAATATTTTACTCCCAGGTTCGTAGAGGACACCGCGTACAGGTGTTCAGTCTTGCCCTCCTACACTTGTACTTGTAGCGCACACTTCCCACACTTCTAGATGTAATACGAATATGATACTCTTTTAGACAACTTCTACTTTCGTTCCAACAAATATTGCGCCCATTCCATTGCGCGATATTTCCAACATGAATATGATCGACATGTAACGGCTAGTAAGCCGATAGATCTCCTGTAGCCTGTGCGATTCAGCATTGGCATATTCACTAGATCAGCGTTAAGTTACGGTCGTATTTAAAGTCTGGAACTAGCCCACGCCTGAATAATGGGAGCCCAACTGGGGGACAGCTGCTAGTGTTCGGAATATTGGGATAATGTATATAAACAGGGCGTTAGATGTATAAGTACTTTTGTTCTTCCGCTAATAAACTTACCTTTCGATTTGCAAACGCCCAAGCTGGAAATACCGGAACCGTTACACGACTGCTACCTGACCCTTATCAAATCTTCGAGTACGACCTAGTACATCCTCATTCCAATGTCCACAACCCTCGTCGACTTTCTCTAGCCTCAGCTTGCCTCCAAATATACGAACACAATAAAATAAAAGTTGTCAGGAGGACAGGAATCATGGCGCACAAATCTAGCGTGGAACTTTGAGGAACGGGCGTAAGAAAGATCATGTCAGATAGGTAATGGATGCCAAGATGGACACGGTCTGGAATGGAAGCAATTTCAATTTGCGGAAAAGTAATGTGCCCAATTGAATGCCACTGAGCGCGCTACTACTTTGTGTTCGCAGACGACGACGATAAAAAAAGATGGTGCAGTGACAGGTCATTCAAGCTAGACCACATAGTAGAATCTAGATGGATTGGATAGTTATCCCACCTAAGATGTGAGATCGCTGGTTTGAATCCAACAAGATTCGACCAGATTTCTCGCAGTGCTCGTGTACATGGATAATCTCAAGGAGCTGTGCTATCGGTATTCTGTAGGGTGCGAATTTTAAAGATGTAGAGTATAGTGATGATTCCGGTGAAGAGGAGGTATGAAGTCAGCGTCGAGTATAGGGTTCACCACGTTTATCCATGAAAGATGGCGGAGACGCAAGTTGATAACCGGAAGGCTTCAAAACTCCATAAAGTGGGGTTTCACGGAAGAGTTTACAGTATTCTGTGTAAATAAAAATACTTTGTGGCGGCTCATACGAATATACCCAGGAAATAATCGGTCTAGTTAAAAAAGTAGTTGAAAATTTACAAGAACTCTTTCATGGTGTAATTGAGGGTCTAAGAATAATGGACCTCTAGCTTAGTACGAGGCTCTAATAAATTGAAAAGCTTATCTAATGTTGTCCACGTTGGAGTCCGGGCGGAAGATAAGGAATACTGTACTTCAATTGACAATACCCTTTGTCCCAGAACGTCAAGCACATAATCATGGCCTGTCCCGACTGGGCTATAGGGAGAGGGGGGATACTGAGAAAGGCAGAGAATGGGTCATTCGAAGCGATGATGAATAACCCGAAAGATGTTGCAAGAATTACAAAGTGGATTCAACGTGAAGGGAGATCGGAGCAGTTTCGACTGGCGCATGAAGTCGAGGCCACGATGAGGGAGAGAGAGGAGAGCAGGGGAAAGATGGTCTCCTGCTAAAAGCTATGAATTGGACGGTATCTGCACTGGATATAACAGTTTAGTGCACTTCTTGAAGGTAATACAACATTAAAGTGTGTGTAAATTGAAAGATAAGATAAGAATTTTTATTATAGTCCCTTCTGATTCTAAGACTATGAAGGGCTTGTAGAATCTACCATTTAATTCTGGCTACTATTTCAATGTTAAAATGAAGTTATTTATTTTTTTCCAATAGATGTTGACGGTCATGCCCTGGTTACAAATTGAAAAGTTGAGGGGGCTCTTATCATAAAGGTTTCCTCCTATATAAATATTAGAGTTCGTAGACACCTGCATGGGCCTCAAGGCGCCAAATCGGGCTATATGAAATCAAGTTCAAAATACCCTTTATCCCTAGAAAGTTAAGTAGCATCTAGACTTAAGCTCTGCTATACACATTAGTGATTTGTAGCCACGAGACACCCGTAATCTACACCCTCATAAAGCTAAACATATCTCTCTTTTCACACATTCTGATCAACTAGGACTCACATCATACCTACCAACCTCCTTCCCGAAGCCCAGAAAAAATACCCGGTTAAGCTAGCTCCGAGGCGCGAAGCAGGTATTTCCTCAGCTCACATCCTCAGAGATGGAAGAATTATCTAGAACGCAGCCCATATTCGCGGGCTAAATCTCACTACTCGCTGTGTTAGTGGGTAACGGTCACTGCTGATATCGCCCGTCACCACCTTGGACAATGAAGATACGATAGAAATTGACCTTGAGAACTTCATATTCACGCATCCAGGGTAAGCCGAACTTTAGGCCTCCTTTGCAACGCGAAATATTCGCCTCCACTTCAATGCCTCGCAATAGCCCATTTAAATCTTTAGAGGACATACCAGGAAAATAGCTTAGGCTACCGAGCATGGTCTAAGCCCTCTGTTCTTCAACTATCCTTGCGCGTTGGCAAAGGCGAATTCTTCACCTTCCGGTGCTGCCGATATAAACTCTCAGTGTGTTTTTATTGTAATACTTGAGTCTGTGACTATCTAACACATTGTGCTCCTCTCTGACCTAGGCTACCCCTTATACATTGCTCCTTGCCTCTCATGTTTCTTGAAAGATCATTGATATATTGCCCTTGATGAATAGTCATTTAGCTCAATATTTACCAGTGGTATTTAGCCATCTTTTCCACGGAAACTTCCACCAAAAAAAATTTAAAAATTAAATAAACGGTAGCAATGGAAACTGCGTGCGCGGGGAAAAGTCTCAAAAGACCTACAGCCCCAGCCAGGCGAGGCCTAGATACCAGGACCAATTGAGAAGCGCATGTTCAACTATATTTCTTTCTTTGTAACAGTTGACGTCGACTTGATCTAACCTGCCATTTCCGTATTGGGGTGCTGGGTACGCTTCGGAAACTCATCAGATGGCTTTTCCTCCGCGATCAAAGATTGGTAATGAGTAGGGCTCCGAGTCAACCCTCTGTTCTGATCGTAGTTAGCAACATGATAAAGGTGACGTAGGTCTGTTTGAAGAGATGCAGACGATACAGACAGCGGGAGTAATTGAATTTTCTCGTTACACCTCGGAAATTTTTCTCGATCTCGGCTTCGCTGGCTCTGTAGAAGGAGATGGATTTACCAAAGTACATTTAATTAAAACATGCGGTGATTGATTTACCTGCCTCGTTTTGAACAGAGTGGGACTCGAACCCACGCCACTTACGTGACCAGGAGTTAGGCCTGAATCCTTAACCTGGCGCCATAACCAGCTCGGCCATCTGTCCTTGTAACTATAATAGCTATATAGTAGTAATATTTGTACTCTCTGTAACTGACGGGGAGGACAAGGAGGATTTTCCTATCATAGATGATGTCAACGAGGCCGTCAAAGTTAATTATTGACAGAAGAAATCTTGGAAAGCGATTTTCCTGACTACAAATCAAATCAGGAGGGGCCTCGTAGACCTCGCTTGTGTTACTGTACCTGTAGTCGTATCGGGCGAGCTATCACAAAGGATCTAATCCTCGGTTGTGGCTCTACCGATCTTCAAGACTGCAGTGCAAACCCAAATCGTCATCATAAAAAATCAGCATCTAGTTGGGCTGCTTTCAAAGCCAAAATGACGCGCCCAGAGAACAGACACAGCAAGCCACTTGCGAAACAGTGAATATGAATATTTATTCGTGACGGGCACGAGCCCTGCACTCAAAGAGCATGACACGGAGAAGACTAGCTTCTCCGGCGAATATATACGACAATAACTCAGTTTGACATTTGGACTACTCTTGTAGTGGGTGCATTTGCTGATACCACTCGAGACCTTGGTGCTAGGGACTTTCACTCTTTCCTCAACCGTTAATATCCACCAAAGAAAACAGAAAAAAAGCCTTTGGCTATCCTAACATGCCTTTACCATCTTGTACATAGCCGCCGCGCGAGATATGGCCTCACAGTCCTCTCTTTCTCCAGTGAGGTAGGTGTCCAGGCTACCCAGACTTAAATTCGGGGAGATGGCGACCAGGAGGCGGACCAAAACACCTTCCATCGTTGCCTGTTTTTAGAGTGTCGGCTGCACTATCCGAAATCGTTGCCTCTGCGCCTACAGACACCCTCAAGTCGAAAATACTCGATAAATGTGCGTCCCAGCATGCCCATTTATGAACTCTTCACTCGTTCGTCCCACATCCCAGCTGCCTGTCCTCCTTCAAGACGTGAGGCCCCATTAGAGCAACGGGCCCCCATAGACCAAAACCAGAACTTTGTAGCTTATGACTTAATTTACTTCTCGCGGGTATGCATAGCATCGTAATTTTGTAGTAGGAGATGTCCGATTTTTGATGGGACGAATGCCCGATTGCAATTGGAGTAACGCCATTATCGGAATTTGAGGCGAGGTCGTATAGTAAGATTGAGGTGGAGCACTCGCGTGAGAATGATAGGTCCGACATTGACGATGAGTAGTCGATTTTAGATGTGCTTGTGAGTACTTTTGACTTCGATTTGGATGCGATTCTTCTTGGCTATCCCAGATATGCAGAGCATACTGAGCGATTAAACCGGCACCACTGCAAGGTGAAGAATTCGTCTTTGCCGGCAACTATAAGAGTAAAGTTTGGCATGTTTCAAGTTTACATTAAATGCAACTGTAGTCTTTTTTTTTCTTAGTCATAGTGTATTCAGCTATCTAGCTATGACATAAATTTTACACAATTCCAGTCCTAAAAACTCCAAAATTACATCTAATTCATCAATCAATTTTCTTAAATTCCCACTTTGATTTCCCAATTTAATTTCTTTCATGTGCTGCCATGCACTTGGATGTGTTCAAAAATTTGAGTAAAGCTTCTTTTCCTCGTCTTGTTCAAAGCAAGAATGGAATCCTATTGTCTTTAGTAAGACTGTCAAAGTCCACCATAGACTCCGACTCACCAGGGACTTTAACAAAAATCAAATCTAACTTAATCGAATCTTGTGGTACACTACAGCAGCTGAGTTCAACTCAGATTGGGAAATCGATCCAAGACGCCGGTCACGCCGCTGCGTATTTCTTATCTAATACAATTGGTACAATTAATAAAATCAACAATTATTATTAGCTAACCAGGATATGCAGAAGTGAGTATAACAATAGAAAAGTATATTTCGCTATGTTCTATTCGTGGCGCATCTCTCAGTTAATGCATTATCAAGAGGATGAATCAGCCCACCTTACGAACCTCGCAACCCCATATTTTAGTTTGAAGAGATAAAATCAGTAGAAAGATAACATTGCTTTCATCTGAGTTTCATTAACCTTACTTTTAGTTACGTTATAGCTCACCGATGATAATTTACTTATGTCTGTGCAACAAAACATAAATTAGTATTCCAGCATCTAGACTGTCAGAAGAAGACATTATAGTGATCCGAGGTTGCTACATAGCATTCGTAAATACTTGTCAAAGAGAGAAGCTACTGGTACATAAAACATGTTTATCATTTCACACAATAATTTATTTTAATTCCTTTTCTTTAGTAGGTGGCGTGTTATTAGTGCTTGAGTCATAGGCTGTGTTTTTAGCCATTAAGGAGTTCCTGACGTGCTCATTATTTTCAATGTATTCACGCAGTCTCTCTTTACCGAGTTCAATTCCCTGCGCTGAAGCGGCGTTCACCACACTAATAATTGGACCCCAAAGGTTTAGGTTCCACGTAATATAGGCTCCTGAGCCAGTTATTAATAATAAAATAAAGTATATAGGATTTCGGATTACTATAATAGAATTTTAATTAGCGCACAATAAATTAGGAGGATATCACTCACTTGCAAGAAATTCATTCCAGCCAAGGAATAAAACAATAAGCCAAAAGTAGAGTGGAACCTGAGTAACTCCGCCCAACGCGCTTCTCTTAGCTTCGATATAAACTCCATCGGCTTGCTTTTTGAACCTAGCCATAAGGTCTTGACTTCTACCTTCGCTAAGTATTGTGGTTTCATCTTCTAATGACTTGCCTTCTTCTTCGTCAACGCCACCTATCGGTATCAGATCATCCTGGTCTTTTGTTTCTAGATTTGAAGTTGAGATACCAATCCAAGTTGGTAGAGGAGGTGGAGCGCAAGTTTCAGCCAGCGTGAATTTTGAAAGAAGGGGAATAAGACTTAGGGTGGAACTCTTAGCTTTTGTATACAATCCTTCTATATCGTCGCTTGGCCTCCAGATTCTCGGGACACCGGCCTCATCATATCTAAATTTGTCTTCAAAGTTCTCCCGTAATTTTGTCATAATGTTTCCCTCCATGACCTCTTCGTCTATTTTAGACCTGAGTATTACCCAGCTCTGACGCCTTAAACGCCCCAGCCGAACTTCAATTTCATCTTGCTCAGATCCGAAACTAAGTGCCCGCTCAATAAACCGGGCTTCTGCCTCAGAGATAGTTACTGTGAAAATCTCCCAAATTCGATCCCATAGGCTAATTTCCGACTTTAAAGTTTCGCTGTTGTCGGGCGTGTTGCTCCTTCTTGCGCTTCCAAGCTTATTAAATTCAAGACCAACTAGTTCTGATAAGCGAGTTCGTACCCATCTCTCGGTACGTGTTCCAAGCCTCCGCATTTCTTCTTTGCGAAGATTTGCGCTTACTAACTCTAGTTCCTGACTAAATAAACTGATTTGCTGCTCAAAATTGCTCCATGGCAAGCCTTTCATTGTAAGATTCCGGGCTTCAATTTCAAATTGTTCCAATGCCTTGTTTCTTTCTCTAGTCACGGTTTCCGAAAACTCATAGCTGGCATTTGTTTTCTGGCCCGCTTTTATTATGGCAGTTACCGAGTCGGTGAAATGCGCAATCCCAACCTTGTGTACAACTGATAAGTGTCCTTTATATAGAGACTTCAGTCTTGCATCAACTGTTGACACGAGCTCGGATAATTTTCGAGTAAATACCCCCTTGTGATATCGACCCGCCTCTGATTCAAAAGATTTCAATGTATTTGTACGGGCTGACCTCCCACAATTGCCTAGGTCTTTCAAGGGCGAAGGTTTTTCAGATTTAGATTCCTCGGCCAACTTCTGTTCGAGCGGTAAAATTGTGACATCAAAAATCTCTAGCGCTTCTCGTGAAATTTCGTCGCATCGAAACTGAGCAAGGAGTTCTTGCTGAGTGGGCAAGTCTAGATCTTTGTTATTGTTAATTTGTTCCCAAATTCCTTCAGCATAAACGGAAAATCCATCTGCAGGTATCCTTCGATGGTACTCCGGTAGAAATATGCCATCTTCTTGTTCAGAGTTTAGGGGAAATTTATTTTTGGCTGATTTTTGACCAACTCTAAATCGCATGCCAAGCTTCTCGACTTCCTTAACGAACAGATCCGGTTGTAAAATTTTGTGCGGAAGTGCTGCGAATGCAAGGTCAAAATAATCTTCAATCCGAGACTTCTCTAGTCCAGGCGGCTTTGAAAGAGTCGTCCAAATGTTTGCTAAGTCAGCTGTGAGGGTTTTGCGTAAATTTTCAAGTGGGGTCGTCCCAAGGTGGTCTCGTACAACAAAAAATAAGAGCGATCGAGGGTTTGAGCTAGTTAATTATTAGAGGCTATTTGTGCTGCACAAATATTTGGGGGTAAGGTACTGCTTATCTTTTAGAAACAGCTGCAGATTAACTTCAAAGACAGTCTTTAGTAAGCCCATGTTTGCGCCCTGGTAAAGACCAACTTGGTGTTCCCAAATATTCACAATCAGGATTTCACTGGTAGCAAGTGCAAACAGGGCGCTTTTTCTTTCAAAGTCCTGGTCTTCTCCACGCTCTCGACCATCTGTACCTTCTACATCCATTACAAGGATATTTTCTGCCATTTTAATTGGATTAGAGCCTCCTGAATGTTTTCTATTATTCCTAGCCATCCAAATTCCTTTTGTAGTTTGTCTTCTTTCGGTTTCGGACATTACACCAAACTGAGTTCCAAACAAATGATTGAGTAATGTAGATTTTCCGGTCGACTGCGATCCGAAAACTGAGATTAGGTGGTAGTTAAAACCAGATTGAGCTGTTTTCGTCACCTGTAGGTAGGCGTTGAGGTTTGTACTTGATTAAATTAGCTGAAACTATTTCTATTTGCGCGAAGACAAATTACTTGAAGTCTTTGTCTCCATCAATAACTTGAATTCCATGCTCATACTGTTCACGCGTCGGCGTATCTCCCACTCCCGAAAAATGATCGTTGATAGACATCACAGATGGCGCGGTGGGATATCTTAAGCCTGCGGGAGGTCTAGGAACCTCATAGCTTTTTGATTGATCAATCATAATAAGTTTATCCTCAGATTGCGGCTGATTTTGAAAGAGGGCCAGGAAAGATCCTGGACAAGGAACGCTTTCTTGGAGCTGTCTAACGCAATGAACGTGTTAGGCTAATTAGCTCACGTAATCTCTTTGGATAAGAAAAAGGGGTAACTAGGCACATGTAAACGAGTACAAAGACGAACACTTCAAAGTACAAGTCTAGATACAAGTAACTGGTGATACAACACGGAAGCAGATTGAACGGCCGATACATTCTAGATTTATAGCCAGCTATGTCGCAACAGCTCATTTCTTGTAGTCATATCGCGCATGCGAGACGAGTCTCTACAGCATTCGTACCCTACAAATATTTGAATTTGGTCTAGAAATTTTGAAAAGACCTCATCTTGTCTTGTTTGAATTCCTTATATCTATACATGTTTATCTAGAATTTGAATTTGAATTCATTTAACCCGATCAGGCACCCTATGGGTCCATGCGGGTGACTATCTTCATTATTTATAGAGGAAATTAATTTGGTGAAAACCACCTGAACCTGTCTGTTTATATTCCCGTAAATTTCTTTAGTTTACCTTAAGAAAGTGCAGTGTACACTGTTCAGTCAGTGTGGATTCCGTCCTCCCCCTTCCAGATTACATTATTATATCCGAAATTGCTACCTCGACTTCCCCTGCAAGTCGAAACTGTCTTATCCACCCTTTGCTTAGTATCCACTGTGTGATTCTAGCCACATCTTCTAGGCTGTTCATAATTGCTTCAAATGACCTGTCTTTAACTTGTCGGAGAAAATCGCCTCTTCCATTTGCCTACTGCGGACATGCCAGCACCATGTGCTTGATGTTTTGCGACGGATATCCACATTGACAGCTTGGCTTTTCTGCTCCGGGTACTTTTCTTCTGCTCAGGTAAGAATTGAGTCCGATATGCTCGCTTCTTAGCTGAATGGCGACACTGCTTTGGGCCCCGGTTAAGTCACGGTGGATGTTTAAGGGTGTATTTTTGAAGCTCATTTTGGTGCAGCCTATTTGTTCATCAGTAAATATATGTTAATCTTAAAATCTATTGGAACTTGATAGTTTTTATCAGAACAAGTCCTAGGTGAGAGTCGCAAAACGGAACATAAAAATAGATCCGTCCTCCAGTTAAAATAATTTTTATTTTTTCCATCAGATTTTAATTGCGTATGCAGCTATCTAGCTATGACACAATATCAAAGCTAAAAGTCCTGAATATTCATGAGAGAATTGATAAGACACCCCAGCACCGTTACCGTTCCCTTCCGACTCGCATACAATTACACTAATTCGGATTCTCTCAGTAGCAAGACCCCGGATCTCCAACATGTTTCCGGGGCCTGCCAAATCATCGCGACCTATTCGCCTTCAAAGAACAATTGATAGAGCGAAAACCAGGCTGGAAACGCTTGGCTAAAAAGAACATACCATTGAGCTAGATAGACGGGCGAAAAATGGAGCTGGACATGACCGAAAGGATAAGAGCCTTTGAAGAAGATTCTAACTCCACAAACCCAGATGTTGAAATGGGTGATGCGGTTATCGACCGATATATCATGGAGGGGCTTGAGGGCTCACGGTGAAATGTCAGTGAACCCGAAGACGGTCAGGTCTCAGAGGCCCCCGTTATTACAGACACGAGGAAGATTGCTGTGCCGGCCATGAAGCGGACAGCTAATGTTAACTTAAAAAAGGCCGACGAAGCCACGTCAACCACAGCCCCTCAGAACCCCATTCCGAGGACATGTGGAAACAATCAATCTCCTTGTAGCGATATTAGCTCCAAGAAGACTGCGACTTGTCCTCCCGAGCTTCGAGCCATACTTGAAGCCGTAGAACAGCGGGTGGCCTAGACTGCATTTAACCTTACAATATGCACCGCTGCCATCAACGGTGTGGAGAATGCACTCGCATCTCTATCCAAAGGGTCGAGTGTTCAAATTATAGACTCCATGAAAGTCTACCTCCGAGCTGCAATAGCTCAATTCATGTTGTCGGGACCAGGAACAGTCCTTCCCAACCTCCCCCCACGACCAAACTGCCAGAATCATGGCGGAAAGATCATTGAACAAACGATTGAAAAGCAGCCAGAGCTGCTACAAAAAGCGACCCAGGTCAAGGTGACCCAGGTCAAACCTACCTGGGCAACAGTTACCCGAACTGGCCTCCACACGCCAGCAGCACCTGTGAAAGATGTGCGGGTCCATAAAAAACCCCCGACACCAACGAGACCTCCGGCAAAAGTTAAGAAAACTGGCCCCAGAGATGATCGTTTGTTTCTTCGACTCGGAAAAGAACATGCTTGGCGCGCACTCTCGCCGGCCGGTGTCCGAGATGCGACAGCAAAATTGCTCGAGATACCCCCGCAGAATATTGATCATGTATACCGTGTTCCGACAGGCTTTGCACTCCGAGCCAAAAACCTGGAGGTACGACAGCTCCTTCTGAACTCTGCTGAGTCTTTCGTCCAGGTAGATGCAATCCTGGAAAAGGCCTCAGATTTGGTGGCCCTTCGAATTGCGACGATTCCCGTCGCAATTCACACACTCCTGGACAAAGTAGTTGTCACCGACGAGATGGTGGCCGACGAAATCGCCAGGGTCACTTCAAAGGTTCCGGTAAGGGTCCGCCCTCATGGAAAAGGGAGAGTCAGATCCCCATACCAGACATGGGTTGCTCATTTCGAAAGAGAGTCTGTCCCTAAACAAGACTTTCGACTGTTCGACGACTCTGGAATCGCTGTTCGCCATCAGCCACGCCAAACTGTGAGCCAATGCAAGCGATGTCTCTTATACCGGGGGACCCAGAGTTGCTCGCGCGCCCCAGTTTGCTGGAACTGCACCTCAACAATGCATTCCACGTCGGAAAGCCAAACACATACCAAGTGCCGCAATTGCGGTGGCCCTCACAGATCAGACGGCCGAAACTGTCTGGCCCGCCCTAATAAGTCCGGAATGGCTTCTAGGGAAACCCTCGAAAAAATCAGGAACGCTAGCCAATGCGAATATGCCGCGGTGATCCGGGCGAAAACCGCCGTTCGACGAGCAGAGGCCGATATCAAAGCCGCCACTAAGATGGCCAAAACAGCTACGCCGAACTACAGCTCCCATAACAGCTACGAGGCTCTAATGACGGATGAGACGCCAAACGTGACTGAGATCACAGAGGCGGTCGTCCCGAAAAATCACTCATAAAGGGCGCCCCACGGGCCCCTTTCCGCCTCCCCCCTACTCTAAGTTTTATATCAATAAATGTAGGTAGAGGAGGTCCAACACAGAATATTTCACTTGCCCGAGCATTCGAGCTGAATATCGACGTAGTCCTACTTCAAGAACCTCGGTGGAAAGAAGAGACAATGTCGCATCCTAGATACATTTGCCATTTACCTCATGGTGGCGAAAAGGTCAGGCCAAGGGCTGTGACCTACACCCGGAAAGATGATAGGACAATATCAGCGAGGTAACTCTTCCCCTGTGCTAAGCTGACGGGCGACTATTGCTGGGTGCTTGTTAATGGAGTCACTTTCCTCAATGTGTACAAGGCACCCAGAGACACATCAGCCGTATAGCCACTTATCAATTGGACCCCGCCGCCGAACTCAGTCGCTGCGGGTGATTTGAATTCGGTGTACTATGCCTGGCAACCTGGAGTCACTTGCCCCTACGGGCAAGGTGAAATGATTGAAAGATGGGCAGAAGATCACAATCTAACCAGACTTATTGTCGGAGAGCCCACACATCAAGCTGGAAATACCTTGGACCTGGTCTGGACCAACATTAACGGCAGCCATGCGTGGGTAGACCAAGATGAATGTGTCACCATCGACCACCTTCCTATTCGAGGAACAATCCCGATCCAGTCCTCAGTATTGAGACCCAACTTGGGCAAGATTCGAGTGACGAGGGAAAGATTACCTAACTTTGCGCGAGCTGTCTCTAAATTAGTCTGTCTACCACAAGTTTTAGATACAATCGAAAAGGTCGAAGACTATGCCCAGGAACTTTGCTTAAAGCTTAAGACTGCCACAAATGCAACAGGAACTCGATCTAGAGGAAAAGGCGGTAAATCAGCCCCGTGGTGGACCTCGGCGTGCAAGGAAGCACGGGCTGAATATCGAGCGGCCGAATTACCCATCCAACGTGCTGTGTACGCCAAAAAGCTCCGATCAGTTATTAGGGCTGCCAAAACAGAATATCAAGTACAGCAGGCGGAAAAAATGAACACACCGAGCGATGTCTATAAGCTGATAAGAATGGCTGGGCCTGGACAGACAAACATCCCACCACCACTCAATCACAACGGAGCTCTCATCTCTGATCCGCTAGAGCGAGCCACAGTTCTCCGAAACTCTCTCCTGGCAAGACACCAAATATCAGACGACCTACCGCCTTGCATCGCCACGAGTAACAACCGTATACCATGGAAGGACGATATCTCCGAGGAAGAAGTCCAAGTATGTACCATCGGCTGTGGAAACACGGCTCCGGGAGGAGGCGGAGTCTCCGTACAGCTGCTAGTGGCCTGCTGGAAGACAATTGGACCATGTATAGTCAAACTCTTCAGAGCTTGCACACAGCTTGGTACGCACTCGACTTGTTTTAAATTGGCCGAAGTAGTACCTGTACAGAAGCCTAAAAGGGACCCAACAACTTTCAAAGGATGGAGACCAATTGCCCTTCTTTCTTGCCTTGGTAAAGGGCTTGAGAGACTTCTGGCAAAACGGATGGCGCACTTAGCAGTGATTTGTGATGTAGTTGATCTGCAACAATTCGGCGCACTCTCGAGACACTCAGCAACAGACCTAGTCTCCTGTGTAGTACACGATGTCGAGGAGGCGCGTACACAAGGATGGGCGGCCACTTTCGTCACCTTAGACATACAAGGTGCGTTCGATGCAGTTCTTCATAACCGTCTAGTGAGAAGAATGCAAGAACAAGGATGGCCAGACTCAGTTCTAAAGTGGACGACATCGTTCCTTGCACAACGAAT